ACATTTGTCTGTATTCATTCATTTATTCTTATAATGATCAATTAAATCTATTTATTGTTGAACTGGTTTCTCAATTACTATTTTTATATTGTTTTCAGATATATTTCTATACTGCTTGAAGATAGGCCGTCAACTTTTCTATCAATTGGAGCACCAGTTGCTTATTCAGCCTAAAAAGCTTGACGAACTTGATTTCATTTATTTCCATAGCGTTCATGGGTTGTTGAAATTGTCGTGGAGGATTTTCTTCTTGTTTCTCTGCATCTACAAGTTAATTCGGTAATACTAAAATAGTTTCTACTACAAGACACGATTCGAAACACAAAAACTTACCTTGAAGATTGTTGAGAACCATTCCATACAAGCTCGCTCTACTCTCTGTTAGAAAATCTCTTAAATTGCTCTTTATTTTATAAACACTGTAAAGTTTTATTTATGAAATTCATTATTTCGAGTTCGAACCGAAATCACACCACTTTTCAAACCGGGTACCTACGGCAAAATCTGTGTAGTGTGTGGTTATAAAACCGGTGAATGATCCGTTCCCGCGAGATTTGGCAAGAGAAGCTTGTTCTACTGACGTTGCGTGATGGGATCACTCGATCGCGTTCAAGAAAACTAATATTCGCTTCACGAGAGAACCACGCCCTTCTTTCTCATGCGGTCGCCGTTCCCAGTTTCGAGAATTGGGCTCCTGTATTGCTGTTTGTCTAATATCGGTGAGCAAATATCGAACATCAACTACCGATGGTGGCGCTGCGAAACGTCAAATTACTCGTTGTCGAATGACAGTTAAAACTTGTTTATTGATGAGTTGATGACATGAGTCGATGATATCTATAACATAAAACAATACTTTTCGATCTGTTTCTATTTATTTAAAAACTCCCAAAAGATGATTAGTACAGAACAACTCAAAATCAGATGTAAATATCAATGTGACATTAATGTCAACTAAACAAGTGTCAAATTACTATTTAACTTGTAGTTATAATTTTAGCCACCAGGAGGCGTCTGGACTTTTGAACTCGCGAATACTATAGAAGTACACAGTAGTAGACACAGAGTAAAGTGGTGTAACCATTCAAAGAATAGTACTTGTCCTTTATCTATGGTCTTGTTTCTCTCTTATCTCTAGTGTTACCCGTGACTATAAATAATGTCCATTATTAAACAAAATTATCTAAGAAAAAATCAAGTCAAAAGAAAATGCTAATTTGGCAAATGTGCTAAATTTTTCGACCTGTAGCATCGTGACATTGATCGTGGACAGACAGCGACGATATAATGCAATAACAGTTTTGTTACCTTATGACTTATAGTGAATTTCATTGAATGAAAGGTGGTCAAAACCCGCATTTTCGCTAAAAAAATTTGGTAATAAAAATATTATCTACAAGATGAGCATATTTTTAACGGAGCTGGCCAAGGCCTGATCTCTTGTGAAAAGTATCAAAAATATGTTATTTTCAGTATTCCAACAAAAATTTAATTCAAATGAGTTTAATTGTAAACTGAATGGTCCATTTAGATTCACAACGCCCCATCATAGATAAAGACGAGTTCTTAGATAAAGACGAGCGCCCCATTTATGAACTACACGTGACCTCCGTAAGACGTCTTACTAGACCCCGAACTACAATTCATTTACTGTGCGTTGCCAACTCTACATAATAATTCACTCTTCTTTACTCTACTCAATAGGTTAACGTGCAATGACTGATACATGACAACATGCAGCTTGACATGAGTTTGACTGGCGCTAATAATTTGGCATCTTATGTGTGTGTATTGAGATGTAAATTGTAAACAACTTTTTCCAGTGAAATTCGGTAGTATTCAAATTCTCCAGCACCCTGATAGTAATTGATTTTTAATGTTTACGAAGTCATTCAGGCTTTTCTAAAGCTATCAAAAGTATTGATGTGAGCACGGTTTTTTTGTTGTTATTAATCTAAGACCCGGTTTCAACATGTTTAACTGCAACTTGCTTTATGAAAAAAGACCTTTGAAGAAGCCTAGAATCGGTCCTCCGGATGTATATCCTCAAGAACCCAAGCAGAAAGAAGATGAGTTAACAAGTGTTAATGTTAAACTTGGTTTCCCCACAATGACCCATCTGAATGATGAATTTGGAACAGCCAAAAATTGCAATGTTACTGCTAGTAAGGTAACTATTGTTATCAATGATTAATAATCTTACTATTTCAAAGCTGTTTTGTCCGCCGTGAGTGGAAATTCATAGCAATCAGGCTTTTTTATTTTTGATCATCAATAATAGGTATCTAGAAATTAGTTGTAAGAGCTAACATTTTATGTATCTAGAGCAAACGACCACACGTATAAACTGGAGCAAAAATACAATAAGCCTAATAAGTCTAAGCTACTTACTTATGGATGATAATGAAGAATAATTACAATAGACAATACCTACCTAGTTTAAATAAGATAGTAGAAAAAGCAACACAATTACAAAGAACTGGTTTAATTCAATCCTAGCAATATTATCTTTTTTATCGCGCCCAACGTGGTTGAAAATATATCGGCACCAGTTATCGACACAATTGTGCTGAATTCACAATACTGTTTATTGTATTTAAGGCGTTATATTAATATTGTAAAAATATTTTTATTCGAATGAATCAAAAACCGCCGATTTTCTATCAGACGCGATGATCAAATAGTTGTTTCGATACGAGGGCGAAAATTCGTTTTTTATAACAACATTTTTTATTCGAATGAAAAACATACCACGAATCAGAAGTTATAATAAAAAAGAATAGCCAAAAATAAAAAGCATCAACTTCATATTTGAAATCTGATGGCAAGGCATGCCATTTTTGAAATTGTCACGTTTTGACGTTTGTTTTGCGATTTGATAAACGCCTTGGACGAACTCCATCAAACCTATCAATCCCTACTGATTATCAATCAATCATCCCTGGATAACGTCCAGCCATTGCCCGGAAGTACCACCGCGCCATCTAATGTCCCAACTATAAAGCTATAAACGAGCCCCGATGTTGCCACTCCCGTTATTATCCCGCTTGTCAGTGTTGCCGTACCGCCGTGGCTCCTCCGATATCCGAGATTGCTTAATTTGTATTTTTTTAATAGGTTGGGTCATATTTTAATGCAATTATCAACCGCAAGGAAGAGTTAAGTGCTATGCCTGATTCAGGTCGAAAGCGACAGCAAATCAATCCGAAAGATAACTTTTGGCCTGCAACGATTCGAACAAAAAATCATATAGAAGCATGGTTTAAGGATCTGGCAGGGAACAAGCCTTTAATGATTTTATCAAAAAGGGCGCCAAACTTTAACAAGAAGGAGGAGATATTTATGACATTGACTGAATATCAAGTACCTATGATGAGGGCCGCATGGTTTATAAAGTTGAGTTCTGCTTACACAGTTGCTGTGTCTGAAGCCAAGATTAAGAAGAGACAAATGTCAGATCCAACCACAGGTAAGGTTCGATCATTAACGAGTTCAACTACCGATGGTGGCGCTGCGAAACGTCAAATTACTCATTGTCCAGTGACAGTTGCGACTTGTCAGACTTTAGAGTTTAGGTATTTTGTGGAGTTGATGACATTTATAACATAACAGTACAATAACAGTAACAATACTTAAACACTTTTCGATCTGTTTCTATTTCATTAAAAGCTTGTAAAAGTTGATTAGAACAAAACAAATTACAACCAGATATTAATAAACACCAATGTCAACAAAAGTGTCAAATTACTACTTAACTTGTAGTTATAATTTTAACCAGCAGGGGGCGTCTGGACTTTTGAAATCGCGAACATATTTAGTCTAAAACATGTCATTTTCGGCCGAGCATTGAACTAATATTTTATGTGATATGCGAACTTACGTGCGATGAATCCGACTGATACATTAAGTAATAATATTTCTCGAAGAAATTGTTGTCCGTGACCGCCTAACATCACGAAAAGCTCGTCAGTTTCAACATGTGTTAATGCAATAACAATAAAATATTTATAATCTACGAAAGAGTTGCCAATTTTTTTAACAAGATATATTAAATTTTTCAGAATGGACCAGTACTCTTCTGAAATTTTTAAAAGATCAAATTCCGAAACTGCAAGAGTATTACTGTCAGACTGAAAAGCCTCCTACAAATGCTCCACTAGCTGCATTGGCCAATAATGAAACAGAGCAAAAATTAGCTTTGCGATTCTGGACCTATTGTTGTCGATTACTAAAATATATGTACGAGGAAGGTTTAATTGACAGACAAGATGTACTTACATGGATTATCGAACTTCTAGAAAAACATGAAAAGCCGAAAAATCCGTCACTAGATGATGGATTGTTAAGATTACTGTTACCTTTAACACTGCAATATTTGGGTTAGTAGGAATACTTTAAATTGCTCTTTGTTCATTGTTTTAGAATATTTGGTTTTAGATGAATTTGTTCAATCTGAACTTCTTTCTCGTCGACTTTGTCATTTTTGTGCTAAGAAACTTAACGTGATGATGAATAGCGTGGCTGAACCAAGTCTAATCACTTCGCCACCCGGCGAAATTAAAACTGAGCCAAAGGAAGGAGAGAAGGACCTCAAAAAGGAGACCCTTCCAGTCAATCCCTTGCAAAGCAATTTAGCCGAGTACCAAAATTGTCAACATCATAGAGACATTGGTAATCTATGGGTGAAGAACTTGCCATGCAATGTACTTTACGGTTAAAGAATTTAAAACTTTTTGTACCTTTACATTCAAATTTCTCGGTTAAAATTAGGCGTTTGCTAATCTGGACAAATTGCAAATTCAGCTCCAACCTTTGTCCTCTCGCTAAATTAATTCAAATAACAGAAGATATTTAAGCCACACAATATAATTTGTTTTCTATATCCCACACCCTTGGTATTCAAGTACTTGCCACTAGCTTTATGAGCTAGTGACCCATTTTAAAGGAACTTAAATACAAAAGGTGACTTAGTTTCTTAAAATTTCCAGAAGTGTCAAGATATGAAAAGTCTTCTAAGCAATCGTTGACATTTTGTAGAATTTAATAATTTTGTTTATTGTTTTTAAGATGGTAGTGATTACTGTTTTTTTTTATTTACTGAAAAAGCAATTAAATAAGGTGTTGATTGTTTCTTGAAAACGAAACTATCAATCTTAATGGGTAAATATGGTATGAATGAGATAGTCTAGTCGGTTTTGGTACCGTTCTGATAGTAACGCTGAAAATAATTGGAATTCGCACCATTAGATTTGTTCCAAATATGTGAGATCAAGATTCGTATCAAAGTCTAGAAAGCGACATTTTATTAATCGGGCTTGTTGAAATGTGTGCAAACTTAACTTATTTGGTAGCATTTACGATTTCCATTGTACTGAAGCAACTTTCTTAACTACCTTCAGTCTTGATCTTTTTGGGAGGGAGACATGAAGTACACATTATTAGCTTTCCGACTAAGTATAAGGAAAGCAATGTTTTTTTTGGATTTCAACACTAAAACTTAGCTAAAAACCGTATGGATATAAAATAAGAACTTTTTAAATCCGTCTCTCATGGGATGCCAGGCGTTGCATTTTTCAGAGAATCTACCTTTTTTAATTCTGAATCTTTATCTGTTTGTTACATTTTTAGTTGTTGAACTTAGCACCGTGGTGCATACAATTATCTTAGAATGTCCAACTGCTCTGGTTTGGTGTCCTACAGGATTTGGAACTCAATGGCATGGATCTCCTTTAGATACCTTGCCTATATGTTAGTATTTTTTCACTATGTACATACATTTTTAATAAAACCATTTTAAACTTTATGCTCTGTCAACTCGATAATTTTTGTTTGGAATAGCACCATCATTGTTACCGTTGCCGGCTAGATGTGACACAAATTCATATTTAAAACAAATCAAGCAAGCGGAGGCTGCCATCAGAGATAGAAGCAAGAGAGCTGACGGTAAATGGTGCACCGATAAGTTTCAAACTAGTTCTGCTGGTAAGCTATAATAATTATTATATACATATTGACGATACCAGTTTGTTAATGTTAATTTTTAGGAACAGTGACCACTAGAGTATTAGCGGCATTGGATGCTCTAGATAGACATCGGTTTGATAAAATGGATTCAACGAACTCTTTGGATACGCTATATTCTAAGGTAATCATTTTATTTACATAGGGGGTGATTGTGGGGATTGTTCAATGCAAGAATTGAGGGCATTTAAATCCAATAGTTTTTAACGCCGTGTGCTCGTGACGAAGCTCATTGTTCTGAAAATCAGTTGGAATGGATTGTTTTACGGGAAAAGACCGTGTTTTTTGCGCAAAAGCCTATACACGAGTGAAAGTTACTTGGGACCTGCACTGAAGTTTTTTTTGGCGTATCGCGGCTTATGGTACATGAAGCTCAATCGGCAGCAGTAATTAGGACTCGAATAAAGAAATTTCATTTTTTTCACTCTTTTTTTTTCACTTTTTCATGACACAGATGGAAAAACGAAAAAAAAAACGAAGTTTTCCGATCTGTTTCAAGATTTTCACATTATCGACGGGCACGCACGTTTTCACCTGCTCACTGTTGATATTGGTGTGATAATAATTCTCAAGAAGCCACTTCGATCTGCAAAACTAACAGGATCGAGTGAAACATCCTCCTCTTTTACGGTTGTGGAACATTTTTTAAAAACTCAAAGAAAGTGCGAAAAATCGTTTTTTGCGCATACCTTTTGAACAGTTGATGCGCTATTGAAAGAAAATTTAAAAATACATGCAATATGAGATAAACTAAATTAAAATCCCTTCATTTGCTTGCAGTGGAAACTTTTTCAGCATAGCGTAATTTCAAAGGCAGGGGTTATTAATTGGCCGTCCTGTAGCCCGGATTTAACGACACTGGATTTTCCTTGTAGAGATATGTTAACTAAAAAGTTGCAGAAAAAAAGACAGAACAGAATGCCCACCCATTTTCCATGTGTTTAAAGTTAATTTAACCCGTGAGATTTTCAAGATCGTCTGGAAGAGCTCGTACGATGTGAAGGATTCCTTTTGGCGGCAATGTCGTTTTTCACAAATGATTTCCCAAAGATTGAAGTTTTTGTGTAATTTTTTTAAGTAAATATTTTAAAAAGTTAATATTCTGTCGTATATAAGAAAACTTTATATTTTGACTCAAAACATAGCCCCAAGCAGTTTCGTATTACAATGAGATTTCAATCCATCGAAAACGTCTTGACTATGCATTACTGAATGAAAATTTAATTTCAGGTATTTAGTGGATCTGGCGATCAAGAAAATTCAATTGTAAAATTACTCTGCGAATGGGCTGTGTCTCCAGAAAGAACTGGCGAACATAGAGCATTAGCTGTTGCTGCATTATTAGGTAACGATTCAATTTTGCAAATCCGTTTTGTTGGGTATTTTGGATCAAAAAATCTTTAACTAAAAAACCATTTCTTTATCGAAAAGTTACCAAGAACTATAAGATATAACCAGTCCTAATCAATGACTAATACACAGGGTGTTTACCCTGTATTTGGTCCTGAGTATTGGGTGTTTGGCCCTGGTCAAACTATTCTTGCCCGTATGAATAAATATCTTAATTGTTCAATCAATTTTAACAACCTAACAATTTTTTTGCGTAATAATTACTGCACAGCAATTTTATTTATGTATTTAAAAAAAATACGAAAATTTGTAAAAAAAACCAAAAATCGAAACAAATTTACACATTTTCATCCATGTGGCCTTGTTTGACTTTTTATGAATATACACTTTCTTAGATATCTGTTGATACAGATACATTAATTTATTTACTCATTGGAAATTTTTGTGCAAAAGAGCAACATTTTTTATGCAAAACACCCAACAAAGCGGTTTTGACAAAAAAAGTATAATAATGTTAATTGTTTATTGAAAGGTATCCTATGTTTCTGGTTCGTTAATTTCTATACTTTCTATATACTTCTAGATAGGAGACAATCGGATTCAAATCCGTCAGAAAATCACGATGCGATTCCAGGAGATGATAAAGAAAGCTGCGGTTCAGTACCAGGAGGTCCTCCTATGTTTCAGTCATTGTTGATGAAATTTTTGGATATTGACGCCCCACTACCAAGTCCTGATGACTCCGTTCAGGTATTAACACATTTCTTATGCCCTTCCGTCTAATCTTCCATTTTCTACCCATTAATCCGCAAAAAGTTCAAACTACACACAATGAAAATCGGCATCAAATAGAAAACTTTAATCCGACAGTTATCAGGTAGGATAAGGGCCACAATGATTCTATATTTCACAGAACATTTCTAACAACGCGATTCACACGACACTGCCGGTAGCAAACTGGATATTCATACATCTTTACGAAAAAAATCACCGAACTACAGAATAAACATGATTATATAATAATCTGCTTGTTCGCCCTTTCCATGATTCATTGCTCTGCTCTTGATTGGCAGTTCGATTTCAGTTTGTTTATTGTTGACATTTTTGTAGAAATTGCTTGTTCGCATGACACTATTTCCTAAGATAAATTTCACGTTTCAACCTTAACGAAAGTCAATAGCAACTAAACGAAAAACGCTAGTTTAATTTTAATTTTTTATTTGTCTGAATTTCGTTCAGCCGCAGTGATTAATGAACAACGCCCAAACTAAAATTAATAACCAAAGTAGTTTTGTTTTTCTAAAAATAGTGACAACAAAAATACCGCGAAGAAATAACTTAAAAATGAATCTATTGCTCAAGTCCGAAATTTCAACTCATAAAAATGGCCTTTAAAAGTTCTCATTTCACGAATTGTTCAAAATTATGTTATTAGGGGCTTAATTTTATTATCTTCTAGTAACATTTTTTCAATCTCCTCTGGCTTAATGCTTTATCTGCTAGCTCCAGATCGCATGCCTTAATCAGTCAAAATGTGCCCTTGCGTTTCAATGGGATAGAAATAACAGACAAAATGGAGAAAGCGATATTTGGTCAATAATAAAACTACTTAAGAAATGGCAATGAATAGGTCATGATATAAATCTTCTAAGAAAATTTTTTTTCAATACTTAAAGTAGTAGTAAAAGGATAGTTGTTGGAAATGTTTTTTGAATCAACACAATATTTCATTTTTTTTTATAGAAAAAAACAGCTTTCTCCAATTTAGTGCACTTATTTGCTGAGCTGATAAGGAGAGACGTATTTTCCCATGATGCATACATGTGTACACTTATAGCCAGAGGTGATCTGATTGGACATGAGGATAATTCAGATAACATGTCTAACCATCACCACAGTAAAATTGAGGTATTGAAATTCAACTAAAACGTTTTTTTGCAGCGTCAAAAAATGTCGTTTTTAGCATATGGATTATGATGATGCTGATGTTGACAATGATTTGGATAAGATACTACAGAACATAAAAGAAGACCAGCAGAATTCTATGGATATACCCGATAGCCCTAAAGAACATGATCATGGACATCATCCACATGTTCCAAACATAGGCCATGTTCCTATAGAGAACGGACATGGAGATAACAAGGTATAATTTCACACATTTTGAGGCAAATATTATGAAAAATGCAATCAGGATTCTTAATAATTTTCTTGCAGCTAACTAGATATTTTTTTAGATTAAAGCTTCCCGTCACTTTCTATACACAACACATTTTCCGCTAAGCCAGGATGATCCATTTTGTCAACATGATTGTAACCAGAGGCATGTGTTGCTTTATGGAGTAGGAAAAATTAGAGATGAGGCACGACATACAGTGAAGAAAATGTCGAAGGAAATATGTAAATTATTCTCAAAAAAGTTCAGCGTTGATGTAGCCGAAGGCGGAAAGGTACATACTTCAATTTTGATTAATTCAGAAATGGCTGTATTTCACTTTTACTCTATTTATACGTTTGATATTGACAGAAATTAACCATATTTTTTTAAATTTGTCTGAATTTCATTCAGCTCCAGTGATCATTCAGGTGCAGACGCACAACGCCAAAACTAAAATTAATATCCGAATTAAATCTGTTTTTTTTTGAAAATATTGACTAAACAAAAAACCACCACGAAGAAATCACTTAAAAATGAATCTGTTGCTCAACTTCCGGGCGATGATAAAAACTAACTATTTTAAAATGTCCTTTAAAGGTCCTGAATTCAATAATTATTCAAAATTTACATTTTAGCTTAATTTTATCATCTTCTAGTTATAATCGGCTTCTCTTTTTTGAATTATGTTTTTTCAGTCTCCACTGGCTTATTGCTTCATCTGCTAGCCCCAGATCTCGTACCTTAATTAGTCAAATGTGCCACTTAATGGTCTATCAAGTCCTGCAGCAATATTTGCATTTTTTTCAAATTTTTCAAATTTTTCAAATTTTCTGCAATTCATTTTTTTAAACCCAAGTTTTAACCGCAGTGGACAAACGTAATGTTCAGGTGTCCTCAGAGATAAAAGTGCCATGGGTTTAAGCCGTGAAAATAGGGATTTAAGTCACAAGTCTTTCTCGGCAGATCCAGTTATTTAAAAAATATTGTTTTTATACTTTTGCGATACTAACTAATTAATTTTAACAAATATCAAGTTCATAAATAGGAAAAGGAATAATTGACAATAATGTCAATCAGCCACAAACAATACACTTTCTTGATTGAAACTATATTTTTTCGGAAATGTTATTTAGCTCAACTTACAAGGTAGGTATCGAAAAATGGTTTTTTTGTGTCAGTATTATACAGGGTGGAAAAAAATATGAGCACTGAAGTGTACAAACTGGGGTCCGTCCCTTACGAACTGGAAAAGGAAGGAAAAAATAAAAATGTATTTCGAAGACACTATTTTAAGGGGCATTAGTCAGTATGTTAAGTATTATCAGTTGCCTGACATTGTATTTTATACCCAACCTTTGGCCTATTTGAATCTGTGAAGGTCTCATTCTCTCCAGATAGTTCAATCAATTAACAAGACAATTGAGGTATTCGAAGTAGGTAGTTAATTTTCACATTTATTTTAATTTATTAGGTGAAGAAACATTCCAGGAACGAATTTAATTTTGAGGCAACTACCCAAAAATGTCAAAGTTTGAGCTATTTTGATCAGCACGTTGTCACATGGCAGTGCAGCGTTACAGTTGTCGAAATGCTCAACTCATTTGCGACTGGAAATTCAAACTATTTACCAGTACAGGAACACGTCGCATTTTTGTTTGATTTGATGGAGTTAGCATTGAATATTTATGGGCTCATAGATGTCTGCATTCAAATTTTAAAGGTGATATTTTCAAAGTTTTATTTACGCAGAAACCATACATGTCTCTCTCAAGCAATTCTATTATTAATTGCAAAGCATCTTTTAAACACGCAGTGGTTTTTAAGTTAAGCAAGCAAATTAAATTGTTCTAAAACATTAAATATTGCCGATTTCATTGAAAAGTTACAGAGTTAATTTAGAATAGTTTGTAATGCGTAATTTGTAAACTTCTGTAAGACATACGTGTAAATCTCTGAATCTTTAAATTTGAAGCCAACCCTGGGGACGCACACAAAGAAAAAAATTATAATTAAACCTTTATATTTCATTGAACAGTGGAGTAAAACATAGAATGTGCTATGTTTTTGGAAATATAATTTCACGCTAAATATGATTATGAGTTAAATATGATAAAATGTACAGGGTGTCCCATATAAAAATATATATTTTTTGTTAATAACTCGGAAAGTATTTGCTTACCTCAAATGAAACTCTATATATGCTAGGGATATTGACATATGGATTTCGTCTTTAATTTTTTCAAAAAATCACTGCTATATATAGAAGAGTTTCCATTCAGAAGTGTCCAATTTCAGATGTTTAAAAGATTTTTACAATATAAAATATTTCGAGAACTTTTAATTTTGCCAAAGAAAAGGTCCAATTTAACGATATTACGGAAACCGTATCTTCAAATCGTCTAACCAACTTACCACATATTACCTATATTATGTTTCGTCGTTTATTGAAGTAATTTCGTCTAATTGATTTGTAGGAACTACCCGAAGTTGAAATTCAACTACATAATAAAAATTCTGTGCTGAGTAGAAACTACACCACTGGACTTAGCCTTTACATAGTTGGTGTTTTGCGCAGATATCACTGTTGTTTATTGTGTAAGTATTGACTACATTTTGCTTATCTGATTGGTATTTGCCTATCGTTTACCTTTTTTCTCTAAATATATAACATTTCGCGGAGTTCCAAATTTATGGAGGTTAAACGAAAACGAAGCAACAGCCATTTCCAGTCCGGAGTACTTAAAAAATAACACTCGGACATATGAATTTTTCAAATTTAAATTATTTCACTCCAACGGGTCTCAAACAATTAACTGACCTAACATTTACAAAATATATCAAAAATTGTCTCAATTTTTTGACAAACTTGGTGATAAAAACAATCTTTCCTCAAACTATACACCCTGTATAGTTAGAGGGCTAAATGTATTTTATATGGTTTCGGCACGGTCAAGCATGATTACAGTTTGTGTGGTAGTAATAAAATAAACATCTGATGAGAGCGAAGATTCTTGCCCATCTTTTGGAGTCAATTTAATTCAAATCACAATTCAACACACACTCAATATGTAAGGACAACGAATTTTTAGTAGAAAATTTTGGGCTTCCGGAAGACCCAAATTTGACCCTGTATTCGGCTCTTAAGATGTTGATACTCAGTATTTCTATAAACTGAAATAATCCGATGGATTCTTAAGTTAGAACGTTAATTAAACTAACCACCTAAATAAATCATGATTATTATTTTAGTTTTTACAAACTTCTTTTTGGGTATTTCGCCTCAAAAATTTTTGTCTTTAAAAAAGACAGAATTTCCTCACGTCTTTTATTACAGATTGATAAA